CATCTTACCATGTGCAGTGAGCTGCTATGGCATGCTTTTTTCTAGAAAAGGAACCAGAGGAAGCAGGAGGACTAGTGACCTTGTAAAAATCGACACGCTCCCGTTCTCCAGTACGAGCACGCGCGGTAAGTAACAGTGTAACTCACTGCCTTTTAGCGTGGAGATGTTAAATTAATAAAAGGTCACGACGCGTCTCTAACTGCTTTACCTCGCACGTTCTTGTTACGAAAGTGGTACACACTCTGCAAGTGCAGTCCTTCCTGCCAAATTCAAGATGACGCTTCACGGATCAGTTGTCGTGGCAATTGTCTTCAATTGGTACGGTACCTACCGTCACGGGGTTTCTCGAAGCAGGGGCGTGCTTCAGTGAAGCATAAAAGAAGTTAACGCTTCAACAACCCGGAGCATGCTTGATTTAAACGTATCTGATATTAACTAGCTGACCACTGATCATTAGTACTCTGGAATCGATCATGCCGAGATGTTTTTAAGCACTGAATTCCTGCAAAAGCGTATCTTCACTCGGTCTGCTGAACTAAGGTAAACACGAAAATAAAGGGCCCTAACAAACTTTATTTTTCTCTGCATTCCCTTGCAGAATGTTGCGTTTTCACGGGTGTGCTTGGAGCATAGCCAGATCACATTTTGTACCGAGCTTGATAAAAAAGAACACCCTGGATGCGCTCTCGTACGCGCCGCGTCACATGCTCTATCACTTGCAGACATCATTACTGTACCACTTCGGAACATGATGCTGTATGCCAGCAGATTTCTGAGACCGAACAAGCCCCAAGAGACGCGCCATCTTCGCTGCAGTATCAGACGGATGAACCAAAACGCTCAGCCTTTCATGTGACTGCACAAGGTATATATGGGGTCCTCCAATATACAAAAAGCAAGAGGTTGACTGCAGAGCTAATAAAGCTGAATGAGCGCAATCGCCATTCAATGTTGAGGTTGGCGTCAAACATGGCAAAAACAGCCAATGAAATCAAGGACTAAGTGGGGCTCAAAAGATCTGATCAGTGATTCGTCACACATCGTTCATGACAAAAGAGTGCTGTACTTCTCGCCTCAGGCGAGAACAAAGGCTCGAATCAACACGAACTGGAAGGCGGCAGTCCTGCTCTCTACGTTTATCATGGCTTCACACTGCATGAATTTAATCGCCATCACCGCACGGAAACTTGTATGAACCTGAATGCCTTTGCCTCCCAAGCTACTCCTTCGTACAGATTAGATTGCGTTCACATTAATTGGATGCGCACCTCTAGAACGCAACAGTTATTCGACGAGGCACTTTTCTTATACCACAGGTGATTCTTTCGACCTTCACTTACGCGGAATTTCGTGTTAAAGAACGGCAGAAAGCCATCACTTTCTTGATCTTTACTGGTGAAGTGTGGTGAGTTATGTTTCTGCCATGCGAGTTCAGTCTAGCCTAGGTTTCCACAGAATCTTCTCGTTTGCCCGATAACAAACACGTATAGGATTCAATTAAAGGCACTTTCCGCGATAAAATAAGGCTATGACCTTTCAAATGTGTCAGACGATCCGGAAGGAGATTGCGGAGGCTGCGCTACCTTTAGAAAGTGAAAATCGGCAAGAATTCCGCTTCAAGCTAACCAATTAGGCCCAAGGGCGCCCCTTAGGCCCATGCCGACCCCACCGGCTGCTAGCTACTAGCTAGTAGCCACTATGCTATCTCTCTCCATTCCGAATGGTGAGAGTGAGGTGATACGATAAAAGAGCTGATATCTTTATGATAACGAGTGGAAATTCGTACAAACATGCGTTTTCTTCATTGCATGCATGTACAAGTTGGGGTCGATATGGAATCCTATTTAGGGCATTTTCGGCTGTTTTTCTGCTGCTTTTCTCCGCTAATCAGATACCTAGCCCTTTTTCGTTCCTATGTGGGTTCCGTTACCCACAATCTGTGGTCGCGGGCTTTGCCTTTAAAAGTGATGACTTCTTCATAAGGTCCAGCAGGATACCTCTAACACTGCTGCTTTATGATTGCTCATGACTAAACCTCGTTTTCGCTTGTAGACCTTTCGGTTCAAGACAGTTCACGCGCTCGAGCAGTTCGTAGGCGTCCTTCCTTGTACAAGTTTCACAGCAAGTAACGAAGGGATTCTGACGCCTCGCTAACTGTCCCGCCCTCCAAAACTGAAAGGCTGTTATCTGTCATGCGTTCCGTTTTTACACCGCTTTTTGGTTTTTTTCGCTGTTGGTTAGTATTAGCATTGGATGACGCGGAGAAACGATCAGTGAGCCAGAGGTGTTAGAATGTTCCTTTGCTGACATAGAATGAGCAGGTCCGAGAAACTCGTCCAGAGAGGCTGTGAGGTCCTTAATAAGGGAGTTCTCCTAATTTTTTTTGCTGACCTTTTTTCCGAGGGTCATTTAGCGACATCAGATTTGTAACTGAACAGCGCTAATCACAATCTGCAATTGCGAGGTTCATCTTTTAAGCAGAAAATGTTACATTCCAGCGCAACTTCAATGTTCCCATAGCACGCGGAGAAACTCAGCGTAGAAATGTGGTTTTGATAATTCCCAAGAAGGAACAAGACAGCTTGCATTGCAGGGGAAGGTGGAGACGGCGACGGCGGGTGACAAGAAGTGATAACAGCTGATAGGGCCTGATAGAGAACGATGCAGTTGTTGTTCAATCAAATGCTGGAGCCTCTACACCACGAAATTATGGAGTTTTAGTGATAGCGACATTGATGACGGGTGACAAGCAATTTTATCAATTGATAAGTAAAGATAAGGGGACATTCTCACGACATCTCTGACCACTACACTGCCAAGTAAAAAAGCCTCTCAGTAAGCGAACTTTTCCTCCAGCCATGTTTTCTCTGATAGCGCTAGAAAATAAACTCATCCCCTATCCTACTTTATATGATCCGCTATGTCCGCATGTGTGTGTCTGTTCGTCTGTTTGTCACGAAATTCATAGCGCCGGTCCTCAGTAGCAGTGAGACATTGGTTCCAAGGAGTGATGTGAGGGGTGTGACAGGAACACTATTGTTGGGTGACAGGAAGTATCGCGACTTCACGCGATTTTACTTTGAAGTTACATACACAGTATCCTTGTGGTCTTGTGCGCATTCCTTTGTAGAAAATCAAGCGCGCCCGGGTCACGTGTGAATTCCTCTAGGGGGGACAAAAAGCTGTCCAGATGGCGGGGCCTGAATAAAGGAACGCGCACTGCTGATCTTGCTCATTCCATGCCTTGACATCATTTTGCCTTTTCATTTTCTCATCTCATATCTTGCGATTGGTGCTTTACATTAAGTACTGTCTCTGGCTGATTAAGGGTATACTGTTTATACAATGCTTGTTTAATTACCCAAGTTTGAGGTAAAGAATTCGTGCGCTTTGTGTGGTTGATTTCGGTGGTGCGCTGTATTGCGACTATACTCATATCAATTTGATATATGGTACATCGGCCGACTACGGACCAGCTGAACCGGTACGAATTTCAATACTATTTCGCTTTCAATACTTCAATACTTTGATATCAGCGGCGCAGGTGGAGACTGCGCCAAAGCTTTTGCTTTTTGCTTTCAGTTTCTTTACTGTTTTTGATACTTACATTTTCATTTACCTTTTTTGCCCATTTCTTTTCACATTTGTTTTGCGCTCTCTTTTGTCCTCTGACAACGTACTCTGTATCCATCCCCCTTTCTTTGTACAGTTCTCATGACTACACCCGGCCCGGAATCTTTGCGCTCTCACAAATCACGTCTTACCCGTCATTGCAATAACCTTATGCGCCTAGTTGATAAATACAAAAATTTAGAAACCATATCTTCCTCCTCAGTGGAAGACCCCGAGACCATGCGAACACTCCATTCCGCTATATTCGCAATAAATGCCACTGTCAGTCACGTAGAAAGCGCATTAGTAACCTTCACAACAACGGTAGATTCACTCACCGACACCCTCACGGAGGACCAAGAGACGCAAGTAAAGGACTACACCGATAAAGCCCTAGAGATCCTTGATAAGGCCCAAATGCTGGCTGTTTCTTTGGAGGCCATCTTGGTCAGTGCCCCCAATTATTATAAATCGGATCGCCAGCGCCCTGACACGCAAACCCCAGCAAACACTCAGGTAACGACAGCCAGCCCAGTGTTACCTGCCATCCCAATTCCCACCTTCTCAGGGAAGGTGTGTGAATTTGATAACTTTTGGACCCTATTTGACGCGAATATCCATAGCCAACCGCTCTCACCATTGATAAAATTCAATTATTTGATCAGTGCGCTCCGAGGGGAAGCTCGAGATTGTATGCGCAGGTTCACCGTAACGGCAGATAATTACATGCATGCGATCAACACTCTCCGCGCTAAGTACGGTAATGAGTTACGACTGATCGATTCCAAACAGCTGCGCGATCTCCAAGAGGCACTGCCGCCTCTCCCGAGTAAAGAAGATCTTCATGAAGCGATCTTTCGGCATGCTCTTGAACTACGTGATT